CGGCGGCGGCGGCGCCGACCTCCGGAGCCCTCCGACGACGACGACGGCGGCAACGACGACGACGACGACCTCCGGAGCTCTCCTAGAGCACCACAGTACCACGCCACACACGCCACACCCACAGCACCACACCACACCCACAGGGGGGGGGCCATCGCGCTTGGGGGGGGGGGGTCCGATGGCATCGGCAGGAGGTGGGGTGGGGGGGGGGCGGCAGACCCCGGACCATATCAGACATCCCATCCCTCCTTCCCGTCCCTTCCCATTGCGCTGATGGTGTCGTTCTCCGCGGACGCGTGTCGGAGCCGACCTGAGACTCCAAAAACAAAACCCACCGACAGAGGCAGGGGAGAGAGCTGAGTAGTTATGAAAATGGGCAGCTGCGGAGGGGAAGGGGGGAGAAGGGAATGGGAACAGGCAGAGGAGAGTGCTCGACAATCACCAACAACAGGATGTGTTTGTTTTACACAGCAACAGGACCGAACCTGCAAATAGACTCTCCTCCAGCATCATCATCGTCATAGTCGTACGCATCTTCATCTTCTGCATCCTCCTCCTCCTCATCATCATCCTCATCATAATCATCGTCATCGTCGTCATCATCATCATCATCGTCATCATCACCGCCATGAACACAACGACCAATATCAAGACCATCATACTCATCATCAGTACCGTCACCACCATCATCATATTATCATCCTCACCATCAGCATCATCAGCATCGTCATGATCATGTGCCTCATCATTATCATCGACATCGTCAGCACCATCATCATCACCATCATCACCATAAGCATTATCAACATCATCATGTTCATCGCCATAGCCAGCATCATCATCACCATGACCATCAACACAACCACCACAATCATCATCATCACCGTACACATCATCATCAGCGTCGTCATAACTACCAGCATCACCAACATCACGATCACCACCATCACCACCATCAACATCACCATCATCAACACCATCACCATCATCATCATCAGCATCATCATCATCATAATCATCATCAGACCAATCATCACCATCATCATCATCATCATCATCATCCTCAGACCAATCATCACCATCATCATCATCATCATCATCATAATCATCATCAGACCAATCATCACCATCATCATCATCATCAGACCAATCATCACCATCATCATCATCATCATCAGCATCATCATCATCATGAATCATCATCACATCATCATCATCAGCAGCATCAGCACCTTCACTATCGCCATCACCATCACCATCACCCTCTTCATCTCCCCGTCAGCATCTTCACCATCACCATCACCATCAGCAGCATCCCCATCAGCAACAGCAGCATCAACATGCGCACCACCATCATAGTCTGCATCATCAGCATCATGATCAACATCATCATCATGATCATTAACATCACCGTCATCGCCACACCGTCAGACCTTGTAATGCTTCCACGACGTGCCCCCCCCCAGAGATGGACCCATCCGCAGGTTCAGCTCGTCGTCACGCGTCGTTCGTTGGACTCCCTGGCGTCCACACGGGCCTCCATGAATGACTACCTACCAAACCACCCCAACCCAACCCGAAGACCCGAATTTGACCCGAATTTCGGGTTGGGGGGGGGTACGGGTTCCACGTGTTTTTTCGATGTTCCCCGACCCCCCCCACTGGAAATGGAGGGCAAATCGTGGCATTCGGGTTGGGTTGGGGTGGTTTGGTGGGCGGTGAATGAAGAGGCTCTAACTTGGACAAGAGCGGCCACCCTGCTTACCCCAGAGAGGGGCTGAACTGCCCCCATACACAACGCGCACCACGAAGCGTGTCAATACGGAGCTCGGCATGCAGACTGTCAACGCAGGTCTGGTGCGATACACTCGCCAACGCGTGGGCCAACACGCGGAGTCAAAACGCACCGTGTTGACACGGACGCTTTTAACACGGCACGTGATGCGATTCACGGGCGTCTGAGGGCAGCTAAGGAGAGGGGGGGGGGGCCATACCCGGAGGCCGCCGTGGAGGGCCC